GGTAAATATTACGATTTTCATTAATTTTGTACTTGGGTTGTTTTAAATATCTGCTCTTTGTCCTGGTTTCAACTCAGAGTAATGAAAACAGAGTTCACTGTCACTTTAAAATTAATTTTTGCTGGCGGCATAAAATATAGGAACTGCTGATAACAACAGGCAATACAGAAAAAAAAGAAACAAGTCTTTGCTTTGCTTCACTCACTGCATTTAATAGCTAGGCATATTGTCGGTCAATATGAACTGGTATTAATATTTTTCTTTCGGTTGAAACAAAATGGTATGATTTTCTATTTCTTTTCTTTCGGTTGAAACAGAAAAAGGGGGGTATTGACTTTTGTACATTAGTGGAATAACTAACATTAACATCGAATTATCACAGCAATAAACGCCAACTAAAAAAAGCGGAGTGAAATTAGCCAAATAAGCTCAATGAAGGGTCAATGAACAAGGAAGGAGAATGAAATCATCTTCTGATCACGTGTAGCTATTGCGTAATCGGTCATCGGATGAGGAAAAATAGGAAGAATTAACGGAAGTTAAAGACTGAAAATTACTGAACAATATATCAAATATTACGCCATGTGGATTGATTTGATTTTCGAGGTTTGGTTTGGCTTGGGTTGCACTGAAAATTATCCAAAAAGCCAACAATGGTTACTTTAATTTTTGATATATCATCAGATTCAATAAAAAATCTCAAACAAAATGTTTTTATGATGCTAGAAAACATCTTGATGTTTTTTTTCGGATTTTCTGATTTTTGTGAGCTTTTTTGCGAAAAATTGAATTTTGGAAAATTAAAGTGCACAATTCCGTGATCAGAAGAGCTTCAACTTCACACTGCGTTTGATGGAATGACACAACTAAAAACGCACTCGTAACTAAAAACCGAAAAGCTTTGCTCGTCACTTTTTAAGATTCTAGCACATTAGAGGTTTTGAACACTTACGACATCAGAAACATAAAGTATGACTCATGATGATAAGAGATGATATACGTACGGCAATTACAGTGCAAGAAAATGTGTAAAATTTACTCAAAGTTTTGAACTTGGGTATCAAAACAAATCTAAGCTAAATTATCACAACAACGATCAATAGCTGTTCTCAGTTGATAATCTTCGGCCAAAGTTTTACTCAATTTTTAAAAACGAATCCTCGTCACTGAATCGTAAAGCACTGAAGTTTGAGGCAACTTTAAGTTTCTTTCAACAGTTTCTAATATTATGTTTAGTTATCTTCAGTAATAACATTCCATAACTTATGGACCCAAACACAAAATGGACTGAAAAAACAGCACTTGACATCTGCAACTGATAGAATTTTTAGGATTTATCGTTCGAAAAAGAGGTTCCGTCGAGAATTGATTTTGGTTTAAAGCACGAATGTTTGACTGACTTTGAGCATATTTTGTTATAAAAAGATCTACAACTAAGTTTGGTTTGTTTCTAATAAGTTCTAATTAAACCATGGTACCATTACAACACGTAGGCATGTATGTATGTATGGTAATGTTCACAGGTAAAATTAAAGAACTGGCCGTGATATTACATAAATTCACTTACTATTAGCACAGGTTCAGGTAAGGAAAGTAGCTACCTCAGAAGGTTAAGACAACTGCTAGCTAGTCAGTAGGCCTCTAATGTCATCTTAGGTATAAAATTAAACTACTATAAAAGGTCCATACAAAACAGCACGTAGCACATAGGTAAGTTTTATAATGATTAACTGCAATTCTATTTAGGTGTGGTCCACTTTGTTGCTAAGGTTGGGGGAGGATGGGTTTAGTGGTGGGGGGGGGGGGCTAAAAGGGTGGGGGGACAGGAAAGGCGTGGTACATTGCATGTGCCGTCTCCTGAGTTTAAGGCCTGAGCAAAGTTGTCGCCAGAAAGATGTCTAAAGAAACAAATACGTCACGTCAAATTATTACATATAGAACACAATAACATTGCTAGCTAGCACAAAAACACTCCACGTTCAAAACCTTCTTCCTGTATTTTTTCCTATTTTCCGCGAAAATTTAACTGAAAAATCAAGCAAAAAACTGAAGACAAAATTTTTTTATTTAATTTTTTGAGAAACATTGAATTTGTAAAAAAAACCACATTTTTTCTTGAAACTTATGTTTTACCTAAAAGTTTTTTTACCTAAATCTGATGAAGGAAGAAAATTTTTACTATTACGCCAACCCAAATTAACATAAACTTTAAAAGATACAAGTTGTTTGAAAGTATTAGACAATTTTTGAGAATAAGACGACGTGAGTAGCTTTGGTACAACAACACACATTTAACGTACAAGTAGAATACATTTATAGGATATTAAAGTTAAGATAAGGTAAAAGTGTACTAAAGATTATTTCAGCTCATTATTTCAGGAGAGGTCATCTAATTAAATGAGCACAAAAACAGTAAAGAGAAGAGTTATAATCGCTTTGTTTATTATTTTATTACTGCAAAGGATGTGTTTAATAGCACCATGAAATACTCGGAAACAACTCTTAAAATCAAGTTTCACTTTTCTGCAGCCGATTAAACCACTGCCACCCACGAATACTGCGAACCAAATTTTAACATCTGCTCCTTTTCAAATATATTTTTTGGCATCTTCGAAATTGACCTTCTTAAACATAATTTGACAGCTGAACTCACAGAGATCCAGATAATTTCGCTTCAGTAAGATCTCAGATTTTTCAAGTCAATTCTCGTGTCATTTTCATTGATAGAGCACCTCTTAAATTGCACGTTTAATCTGTAGATAGGAATCCAGTTCGCGAGACTTCATGACAAGAGCTAATTACAGATTGTTGGTTGTCGTAGTTGGCGCCGCACAGATAAATTCAAAATAGGTTCGCTGCGGGTCGGTGGTTTGAGTTCGGTTGAGAAGAGCGGGTTGTCCGGCTGAGATTAAAATAGTAGAATAAGTTGTAAATAAAAGGAAGAAACATAAGCAAACATTATCTACTAGTAAGTAAAGTAAGAACAACGCGGTCCATTTCAAGTCGTCATCGCACAACTTCATTCAACCCCCCCCCCCCACCCCCGTCACTTCAGATCGCTTCAATAATCGACTTTAACTCAACCAGGGAAGAGCTTTGCGGAATGGTATTGGTATGGCTAATTTGCAAGGCCAAGAGATGCACTGTGTTGGGTGTTATATCGGAGTTGTGAAGCACGAGGTCCGGGGTTCGAGGCTGTTACCAGCCGGCGGGCGAGTGCAGTTCGGATGGCTGGGCGACTGTAGAATTGGCGAATGACTTGTAGGCTGACGAAGATGGATTAATACAGAGGGGCACTTTGTTGTTCTGCTGATGGTCCATGATGTAGCTGTGGATCATATCTACAAACAAACAAAACGAACAATAATGAATAATGTTTCGCCTTCATCCGTTTTTTTGGTTTATCAACAATCAATTTTAGGGTTTTTTCAATTTCAGAAGAGAATTGAGAAAGAGACTTTTTTGCATATCAGTAACCCAGAGTTCTAATGGTTAAATGCTAACTATGGATCACCTCGCAAGAAGTCGCCGTACAAATTATGGCTCTGCAATCTTGTATCAACTGCGCATGCAAGTATTATTTCCATTAAGCCCTCCACTCATTTTTTTGAATCATTTGAGGAAATCATTTCGGATCTCTATCTATTCCCCCCTTTTGCGGAAGGGGGAGATTATTTACTAGGTTAGAACCTAGTCTCATATGCTTAACCATTGAATTATTTAATTATAGGGGAGGGGAGGCTATTTGTTACTAGGTACCAAAGGGGGATAGTTTAGGAGATCTGTCTTTTCTTCTAGAGATATATCTAGCATTTCTCCAATAACTGTTGCATTTGCTTCTGACAGCATCATTTAGGATTAAGGTTGTCACAAAAATAATCAATTTCATTATTGTCTTTCATAAATCTTGTTTGAACATTGGTTTGCATGTATCAGAAGAATGAATTGAAATATTGCCCTCAAATTTCATTTTGTCAACTTTGTTTGCATAAAATGGAATATTAATTGAACAACTTGACAGCAAAGGACATATTTTTTTCCAAACGGAGTAAAATTTAATTTAGTTCAACTCTATTTTAGAAAAATTTGCACTAATTCTTTTAAAAGCCTGATGAATAGTAAACCTTCATAGCTCATTATCGAAACTAACAATCAATGATTCGGTTCAACAAACCATAAACATCCATTTTTAAATTTTTCACTAACATCTGAAGAGACATTTCGAACAAAAAATTGTCGGAGCTGAAAATGATAACATAATTACTATTTTATAGTAAGCACTCGAAAGTTAATTGAAACTAAGAGTGTCAGATTTGACAAGAGAGATAGTAAAATCTATTTTTTCAATCGCGGTTTAAATACACTTGTTTCATTTTTTCATCACATTACTCATAATAGTCATAATATGTACCTTTTGAACTAAAAATATTGAATTACGACTACAATATATAATTCATTGCTGTTTTCAAATAGTGTAATCATAGCTCTTTTGTTGAGACGAGATTTTTTCTGTGGTTAATCAATAATTCAATTGCACACAGTCATAAATTTATTGGTCTGACTAATCCGCAGAATCTCATGAAAAATTGATGGTTTAGAAAATACACAAACAATACATAAGTTTGGCGTGTTGAAACGCCGCTTCAATGATCCGTCCCATAAACAGACGGTGATGTAAGCACTTTTAAATCCAGATATTACCGACCATATTGAGCGCGCGTTGTCAAAAATGTAACACGTTCGATCCCATTTTGACCTTTAAATATACTTTTTGCTTTTCAATCCCCTGGAATTTAACATTTCATGACTCTTATGTGTGGCGGTCACAGTATAATTTGTACCATTCTATGCATTTTATAACTAAAAAGGTTGAAAAATACTCATGAAATTCTGAAGGCATGAATTTCCGTCTTCTTTTGGTAGTTTGCACGCCATTTAGTTGATTAAATGAATAGCGTAATTAAACTACCTTATCAACAGGAGCAATGACTCACATATGTTGATACTGCGAGAAATATAAAATATATATTTTTTCTGAATTGCTACATAAAATTGGGTGGGACACTAGTCTTTGATAGCCACGCAGCTGATTGAAAATAGTCAAATCACATGGTCCGTACGCGTTTCATATTTGAGCGAATCATAGGCACTACAGAGGCACTGAGCGAATCATAGGCACAGCAAACGCATTTCAGCTAATCACAGGCACCGCGAAGGTATTGAGCGAATCATAGGCACTGCATGAGCGTATTCAAACAAATAATTGCATGATAATAAGATTATGTTCGGCCACCACAAAAAAACTCCCACTACTGCTAGAAGAGTATAAGTGATTTCAAAAAAAAAGTATATGAGTAAATTATACAGGCTCAAGTGACCAATGAGTACTTACACTTGACATCCTGTATGCTCCTCATTCGCAGCTGGTCTTCATAAGAAGCATCGAAAGCAGTCTCGCATACTGGATCCAGGTCCTTAGAGTAAACCCTGGTTCCATCTCTGGCACTATTGTAGCAGCAGTTACACATACAAGTGTGGTATCTTAGGCGACCCTCGTCCAGGAATCGGTGTTCCAGGGCACTCTGGATTGAGATTCGCTTCTCTGGAGACCAGGTAAGGAACTGGCTCAAAAGGTAGATTGCGTGGGGAGGAGCACTGCTGTTGAGGCGGTACAGAGAATTTAGTTGTGGCTGAAACAAAATAATTACTATCAAGTCTAGTTTCTAAAAGAGATAGTTGAAAACATTAGATTTGAATATTTTAGTGATACTGTCATCCAAAGAAAAAGAAAAGATGCAAGTGTGCTGACTTTTGTAGAAAAAACTCAAGATAAGATGCAATTTTCAGATTTCTTTTCCAAGACATAAATTAAAAAACTGGATCAAAATTGCATCTTCGGGAAATTTCTATCATGAAAATGTGAGGTAAAAAATGAAGCCCATTGTTTTGAGATCTTCCGGTATTTTATTGTACTTATATTAAAAGCTGCATGATGTCTATCCTACACACCATTATTTCAATGATCAATGAAACTATAAAACTAATACAAACATAACTTGTCCAGCATCAATTAAGGTGATAAGTACTTTGCTTTTATCTTAATTTGCCTGTTAGATCACACAGACAAAACTCGAGTCTTTTCAGCTTGACCCCATTTGGGTAAACAAGGTCAACATTAATCAGGGTTATCTTGAGCTTACAATTTTGAAATTTAGTTAAGATCCGGTACGTCTGTAAAATGGTTTAATTCAAGGCCGATTTTTGAAATGTTTGATCAAATTTAACCGATCGAGAGTTTTAGAATTCAAGTCCGATGATCATAAATTGAAGAATAGCCACATTGCGCACTCTTCAGGTTAAAAAGATAAACTATTTAAATCATCAGAGCCCAACTCACTAAGCATTCGATTCTTTACAGATGTCTCAAAGTAATTGAAATTCAAATTATCTGCAATCAAAGCGTTGAACTAACTTACTTAAGCCTACGAGTTTTCCTATTTTGGTGTTTCCCTATTCTGTGGTTTCAAAGAAACACAAGTTTGGTGTCAAAAGAACGTACGAAGGACCAACCCCACTATACTAACATTAGATATAAGAGTAGAGCGATAAATAATACCATTTGGTGGCATACTACACGTTGATCAATCACAGACTGTGTTTTCTTTATAGGTGAACCTAATTGTTAGTTTACCTTGTCCTGAAATAAGAACCGCACGTGAACAAGAAATCAAGCGTTCAAGGTAAAAGCCACGTGAAAACAGAAAGGGGAAGCGGCCTGCACGAAGAAAAATTAGAAAAAACACAAGCCAGTCAGCAGAAAAAAGGGATTATTCTCAAATCTGATTAGCTCAAAACAAAGCAACCAGTGATTTTCAGACAAACGGCAAAAAAGTTGACATTATTGCTATTTCAGGCTCGAGGTAACATCAAATTGATTTATTTTTTCTATAAATTTTATGAAAATCAAGCTTTATACTAGCAGAAAAGTTCACCCCAATAGAACAAACATAGCGAATAGACAGTTGGAAAAGAGTCAACGAACGCAAGTAAACAGAAAAAATACTGACTTTGTTTTTTGAAAAAAATCTCAACTTTCGAATTTCAAAAAAAATAGACAACCTGAAAGCTCTTTGAATTTCTAGAACAATTTATGATTGGCACTTTTTAGATAAAATTAACTCAACTTAAGAAAACTGGATCAATAAGCGAAATTTTATTTCGCTGAAAAATCTGAAATTTGAATTCCACTTTCGAAACCAGAGTTTGATCACGTTTTTCGTTACTTTTAAACTTTTGCTGTTCACTAGTGAAGTTTGCCTTCACTTTAACAAAAGTAATAAGTGAACTTAAAAAGAAATCAAAACTGAAACCGCGAAAAGTAAACTTGAGCCTGAACAAATTTTAAGACTTTTCTTGAAAAAAATCATCGCGACCTATTTAAGAGTCTGAATTTTATTCATGGACATTTAAAAATGCCAAACAAGTAGTTAAAAAATAACGCGCAGACAATTGGAAGAATATCTCTTCCTCAAGAATAACTCAAGAACACAAAAATGACAAACACTTTTAAAAAAATTTCAAGTTTTGGGTTTCAAAGAAAAAATCTATCACCTTTAGCTCTTTGAACTCCAAAATGCTATTATGATTGACACTCGCCGGTAAAACCAACAAAATTTCAGAAGACGGGAATAATTTTTTTATTGAATAGTCCTGAATACTCCTTTTGCCCTATAATGTCTATAATGTCTATGAAAAAATTTTTGGTTCAAAAGAATGACGAAATTTTTGAAAAACAAAAATTTAGTAAATGATTGAAACGCGTTAATATATCGCGCGTTAATATTCCCAAATTGCTAAAAGTCAAGCCCTTATCATTTTTCAAAAATGATCGGTCATACAATATCTGTTTATTTTCGAGGTTAGCGCATCGATATCTTTCGGATGATATAAAAAATTTTGTCGAAAGCTGCTAGTCAAAAAGCTGAAATTTGAAGCCGCATCAAGTAAATTTATTCCACTACTTTGATCAAAATTTGGATATATCAAATGGCCGGGAAAATAAAAAAAACTACTGAGCACCAAAAATGTCCATTTATAACCCGAAATTGACGGCTCTCGAAAAAATAGAAAAACCCAAGTACTAGAAAGCGCCTTTTGAAGCAAGATAAATTACAATGAGAGCGGTATCATACCATGCTTTATTAATCGTCATTAAGATTTTTTTGAAATAGAAGAAAAAACAGAAAAATTTGTCTGAATAGCACTTTTGTGAACTGATTTTCGATTTTCAGTAGGAAATTGAAGTACTAGATCACTCACATCGAATCAGTTTTTTTAGAACAGGTTTAGGATAATTAATTTTCATATTTCTAATTTGAAACTCAATTTCACTTCATTGAAACCAAATGACTCATTAAGCTCTAATGGCTACCCTGGTTCTCTTTACTTGTGATAACTATTTGCAAAAGTGTTTTTTCTTCGTAGCAAAAAATTTTGCACGAATTTTAAAAATTGAGAACAAAAATTTAATTTGACAGGATACAGATTTTCTAGTGCTCCTATTCATTTGAAGGTGAGCAAAAATATACACCCAGAAATATGACAAAGTTTTGGGTTGGATTGGTTTACTTTAGCTTAGTAAAAGTCTCAGAAGATCGATTACTTTACCACAAGAAAGACAACGCACAGTCGGTCAACAGACTTAGACATCAAAGCTCTTTTCACCTCATACAAATTCACCTCTGTTGTGTATTCTGTACAACTAACCAGCTTTGATTAACCAGTTTGTCAGATCAGAAAAATAGAGCTTTGATTGATCGAGAACGAATACCGAACAAGTATAGTAAAAGTACTGCTGGTTTTAGATAGATCTGTTATGTGACTACCATGTTATGAGATCAAGTTAGCAGTTGTAGGTCAGTTAGTTTATATAAATTACGTGAAGAAACCGCCGCGACATTAAGTTCGTTCATACCTGAAGTGAACTTTTGTTCATGCCGGTGTCTTAATCCAACTGTCACGCTTCAATTCATTTCCCTTTTACCTACACCTAGATTATGGGCATCAGCAATAAGCCGACAGGTTTTAGAGCAGAAATTAAGCCAACCATTTTGCTAACTTTTTCAGAGAAAAAAAACGAAATTTTGAATTAAAATCTGCGAGGGAATGAGCCGGGGCATGGTAGCGCTCAGCTCCTCGAACCATTAAAAATTTTCCACTTAAGTCATTAACCAATCAACTTGAGTTGTTTTCAAAAAAAAAATTGGTTTTTTTTAAATTAGTTTACACGCATTGTTCTAAGGTAAAAACAAAACAAAAAAAACTTCGCAATAAAAGCTGGAGTTTAAATCTTCGTGTTTGAGAACTTCTGCTAAATGCAATAGCTTCTTAATTTTTACCATTTTTCCTCTATTTGCTTAAGTTAAGCGAAGTTCTAAAAACAGTTTTGGGGTTGGTTGTCAATTACCGCCTAACAGAACTTGAATGCGGTTTAGGACGATAAAACCACGTCACTTCAAGAAACAAAACTTCGAGTTGGGTTTCTAGCGGCAAACCCTTAAAATAGGCTTCCTATAGGGTAAGGTTGGTGCATAAAAGCGAAACAAAACTCGAAATTCCTCAAGTGTTAGAAAGCTTGAAATATTTCTGGGCATTTTAGAACAATAGCATAATAACCTCGATCTTCAAATCGCGTTTTGAAGCGTCAAAAACATTGCACGAGAAGTTGAAGAACAAGCAATAAAATATGTCTCGACTTTCGATTGTTGTGGTTTTATGACCGAAATGCTTCATGGCTAGACAAAATGTACAATACAGTCATAAATTTTTGCAAAAAGATCAGCCGTGATTTTGAACCAGTTTAACTGAATCTTCCGCAAGGCATCCAATTTCTTATAAACTATAATTTATGGCCCGGAAAAAGAACAGGATTTCTATTTGTGGGACTGATATCGCCATGGGCATTTGGGAGCTATAAATACAAAAAATATATTACCAACACCTTTTAGCAATTCCTGCAAAAACCGATGAATTTTAATTAGGATAACTAAAAATAAAACATAGCCGACTGACAGTTGGAAAAAGTAATGAACGCAAGGAAACAAGAAAAATTCACTTGTTTTTTTTTTGTAAAAAAAAACGTCACTTGCGAATTTAAACGAAAAAAATTATGCCCTTGAAGCACTTTGAATTTCTGAAACATGTATGATTGATACTTTTTCAATGCAATTAACTCAATTTGAGAAAACTGGAGCAACAAGTAAGCTTTTTATTCCGCTGTGAATCTGAAAATTAAAACCAATTTCAAAACCAGGCGTTCGTGACCTTAACACTTTGGTTGTTCGATAGATGTTTGCCTCCTTTAAACAAAGAAAATGAACTGAACTTACAAAGAAATCAAAGTCAAACCGCGAAAAATTAAAATTGAGCGTGAACAAATTTTAAGACTTTTTCCTAAAAAAATCAGCAAGACCAAAGCCTATATAAGAGTACTCACTAAATTCATTAATCTGAAAAAAAACATCCAGATTTTTGCAGAAAGTTGTGCCTTATTTTTTTTTTGCTCGACACCGTATAAATTACAAAAGCATCGGGCGCAATTAAATCAGGGTTTACATGTTTTTCCAGACAGCAGCTTTTTAGAAAATTGCGCTACACGGAAAATCTACATGTCTCCCGCGTGCGATAAAAACTTCAAAGACATATCATCAATCACAGTTTTTGATTTGAATGTCTAGAAGGGTAAAAAAAAAGATTGAAATTACAGCAGGATAAAATAGGGCTTTCATTTTAACAAGAAATTTCACCCCACGAAAGACTAATTGGAAGGTTAAAAACACACATTTTGTACCTTGTAACAAACTCGTTTTCTTTCCAATTAACGAACTGTTTCTTTTTCCCATTAGGGGAGGGGGACAATTCTTAAGAAGATCCCGAAATTGCTGCGCTGAGATAAGGCGAAAAATCTACTGCTGTAATACATACCACTTTTCTAGATTGTGATAAAACATGTCGTCTTGCAGGTTCACATGCATTCTTCAACTCCATGTCTGGCGGTGTTCCCAGCAGGTCAATGATGAGATCCAGCTGGACAACTGGACTGGAGGCCTGGAACAGGATCCGACGACTGAGGAGTTCTGCGAAGATACAGCCCACAGACCACGTGTCTATTGAGGAGGTGTAAGTCGTGGCGCCCATCAGTAGTTCGGGTGCCCTGCAAAAAAAAAAACTGATGATTTAACGCTTTTCAAAAATAAAAATTTATCACTTAGCAATGTTTCTCTATTACAAAAAAAATGTAGCAGTAAATTCTGATCATTTATCAATTTTCAAAATTAACCAAAAATTGTAGCAGCAAAAAATGATGATTTAAATTTATCCAAGGCTGGTAAAAAAAATTCAAAATTGTGAACATTTTAACCTGTAAATTATCAAAAAAGACATAACTCGTTTAAAACACATTTCAGTGTTAAGTTGAGATCAGCTCATTTGTTTAGTTTGATGAAAAGAAATTGTAAGTTTTTTCTGCCACCTCAGCGCTCATTGATCTACTGAATGTTAACCGGAGTTTGAAAAAATGCATTCAAGGCCAGCGCTTAAACATAAATTCTCACCAATAAAGTTTTATTTAGGCCTAATTTTACTCCTGATTGAAACCAAGCCATGGTTCCGACTTTTTTGAAGCTTCATTTGTTATTTTGTCGGCACTGAATTAGTTTAAATAATAACATGCTATTTTGACCCCTGCAAAACTTGACGGTCCTAAAAAGGTAGCAGCAAAAAATGGTAATTTATCAGTAGTAAAATTGCTTTTATGCAAAAAATTTTGATGCAGCATAAGATTAACCTTTATGAGCTAGAAAAAAGCTCTTATCCAAAAAGTTTTGCGCGATGATTTTTTATCAGCTAAAAAAATTACTCTTATCCAAAAAATAAGTTATCAGTAAAAAAATAATTTATCTGTTAGCGAAAATGCTCTTATCCAAAAAAGGTGCAAAAGTATTTTATCAGTTAGCAAAATTGTAAATTGCTCTTAATCAATACAATTTTGCATTTACAAAAAATATTTTTTATCATTAAGCAAAAATGCTTTTACGAAAAAATGTTTTGGTGTAAGCGGAAAAATATTCAATGAAGAAACTAATTTTGTACCAAAATAAAAAAAAATGTTCAATAATTTTTGTAATTGTAACCTGAAAAAAACAAGGGAATTTAAAATGAAAGATGTTAGGAGCAACAATTATCAAAAATAGCCAACAGACAGTTGGAAATCGAAAACATATATAGACTTCAACTTTCGAGAAATCGAGAAAAACTTCAACTTTCGAATGTCAAAGAAAACAATGTAAGATCTTAAAGCTCTTTAAAATTCAGGAAAACTAATTGATGGACATTTTTTGATTAAAAAACACCCAATTTGATAAAACTGGGTTAAGATAATTTTTTTATTCTGCTGGGAAATCTAAAAGTTGGATCCTAGAAGTCAAAATTAGAAGTAGTTGATGTTGACGTTTTTTGCTCCATTTTCACTTTTGTAATCGGAGAGGTTTTCGTTTTACCGAATGAATTTGAATGTAATTTAAATGAAACACATAGCCAAAAAGCAGTTGGAAAAGAGTCAATGAATGCAAGAAAAAATCTCACTTTCGAACTTCAAAAAACTAGATGCTCTTAAAGCTCTTTGAATTTCTAGACACCAATTTATAATTGACACTTTCTGATAAAATTTGAGAGAACTGGATAAAAACAACTTATATTTCGCAGGGAAATCTGAAAACTAACTTCCATTTTTAAAACTAGAAATCGATCACGTTTTTCTTGACCTTTACACTTTTTCTGTTCAATAGTAGAGTTTGCTTTACTTTTAACAAAAAATGAACTGAAATTAAAAAGGAATTAAAAGTCAAAACGCGAAAAAATCAAATTTGAGACTGAATAAATTTTAAAGAGTTTTCTCCAGAACAAAAAATGAAAAAAAAAATCCTCGCGACCTATATAAGAGTCTGAACTACGTTCATCGACTCTTAATATAATCAAAACTCAAACCGCAAAAAAATCATATTTGGAGTTAACAAACTTAAAAATATTTCCCGTAAAAACATCAACACGTCACTTGTCAATGTCTTCATTACTTTCAGTGACACTTGGAAATATCACCATTTAATGGAACGTAAAAAATCCTAATTAGTATACCTGTAGTATTGCGTGACGACCTCTAGCGTCATGTTGCGGCGTGAGTTGGGTTCAATTTTGCGGGCGAGGCCGAAGTCGCAAATTTTGAGACAGCAGTTCGAATTCACAAGCAGATTTCCGGGTTTGATGTCCCTGTGAATTACTCCAGAGGAGTGGATGTATTTCAGACCTGAAACAGAAAAAATTATCTCAAAGCTCAGGAACAGAAAACCTCAATCAAATAATCTTTCTCAAAACTATAGAAACAGAATCCCAGCAAGGCAATTTAAACATTGCCCTTAAAAAAGTACCGAACAAAAAGTAAACAAATATCAACAAATAAACGTTCATAACAATCAAAAAAATCGAACCAAAAAAATTCGACTTCGGAGAGTTTTCGCTTGAAGGTGGATTAAAAACAGTGCCAATCAAAACTGTTATCATGAAAAACAAGAACTGAAGAAGCCTAAGCGAAGGACTACTAACGCACACAAGGATTGCATATATTTCTTAAGACTTGGTTAATTGGATTTATCAAACTGCATATAACTGCCTCGATCCCGAGTTTAGAACGTTCCCATAGTACATGAGAGCAAAACTACGGACTAAGAACCAAACAATTTGCAGGCTTCTTTGCAACGAGCGACGACATATTTTTGTTTGTTTCCTGATTCTTAATATTTAATATTTTAATATGTCTAACAGATACTAAATCTTTCCAATCAGAGAGATATTTTCAAATCTCTGTAAGTTGAAGACTGCAAACGCCGCACATTGAACTGACAGTCTACTACTCAAAAACAAGAATGACAGTAGTTATGAACAAGTATAAATACAAAAAGCGATCAACTAGTTTGTTTATACCAATTAGACCTTGTGGCCAGCGAACTTAATCTCCAATCCTCAGTTGACAATTCAGTCCCATTTATTAACTGTCATTTTCGAAACAAACGGATCAAAAACATTTGGAGATAAATAGGCCAGTCCAACTGCCTTTTGTCAAGCTAATGTTCGTAATTGGAATAGACTTATTAGAGTCTCCCATTCTCTCGATCTTTATTTCTGTAGTCTAGTTTTTTTTTGGGGGGGGGGGGGAGAAAAAGAGTTTACTCTTGAGTTGGATTGCTACATTCCTTGGCATGACGAGCAAATAGATGAAAGCTTCTATCAGCTCTTTCTAGAACAACTGCTGTCATTTTTGGCTCAATAAACGCATGTGAAAAGATGCGACAAACAACAGGGGGGCGTATATGCCACAGGAGCGAAAGTTCATTCTTCAAATACTTGGATTTGGATATCTTTATTACTTTTATTATTGTTGTCGACCAATTAGCTATCAAAACACGACCGACATCGGAGTAAAAAAAACGAATTCCTTCTATGGAATTTAAATTTTCATACAAACCTACCAATGTCTACCACCGATTTTCATCTATCAATATACTTTTATTTAAATACACGCCACAAGACAAGATCTTATGATGGACACCTAACGTTAGGATGAACTACGCTTATGTAAAGAAACGCAAAAAGTTAAGTTTGATTTATAGACACTTTAGGTCAAATACAGACAACGTCATGCCATGTCAAGTCGCATTTGACCAGCAGATGTCACAAGATTTCTGAAGTCTAAGCTCTAGTGCAAGTATAGATCTCTTGGAATGCAAATAAAAAAGCATGGGAATCACGTGGCTAAGCACGAGATATCATAACCATATTTAGTTGAAGGTTGAAATCAACTGATCCGATTTCTCGGAACGATTTAGACGTATTACATATAGATTTTACAACAATTAATGATAAAAACTGATAAAAATGATATTCAAAAAAAGAATCCCAAGATTGAAATTGAAGCATTTTCCTCTTTTTATCCGTCCAACCATCATACGAAATACTTGATCACGTTGAACTGGGTTCAAGTGCATGATAAATTAAAATAGTTTGAGAATTTTATATCATTAACGAGCTTAATTTACCATATAATTACGAAAAACGCAAGCAAAAGAAATCCCACCTCATATATATTTTAAAGAAATTAGGGAAAAAATGGCAATAGAAAAATCCAGGTAATTTTGTCCTTTTATCGAGTGATTCAGATTCAACTTACATTAAGCTTGATTCAATTACTTCAGCTAAGTTGGAAATTGCCACAAATTGCCATAGGCAAGTAGAGCTGAAATCTATTTTGTATCTTATTTCAAGTAGATTTATTAATTTTTATTTCAAGTTGAATTTAAGAGCTCACGTGACGGGCACATCTTAATAGGACAAAGTTAACTGTAATTACTACAAATATACTGGAAGTATAAAAAGATGAAAAAAACAGAAACAATAAAAAAAATCATCATACAGGTTTACAATTTCAACCACAAGAAAAAACAAGGCACCTTTGATTCACAGGAAGTTAAAAATTTCACGGATTTGCATAAATGAACATAAGAAAATGAGTTAAAAGTAAGACCAAATTTTTCAGATGTCAGGGAATATTGAGACTTCAGGATAAGGGAAATCAGCGAGGCATGAAATCCCTCCCATTTCTTATTATCACACTGCAAACAACAAGTCGTGGGAGTTCTAATGTATACTTCTTAGTCTACTAATTTATGTTCCCTGCTGTCCCATTGATCAGCACGATAGCTCCATAAATTCAGATACATTTTAAATTGTGGCGTGGCTAGTAAAAAAAGGGAATGATTCCTAATATTCAGTGGGTGTAGAAACTTGAGTCATTTAAAAAGGTATTGAAGAACTTAAAAAAATAATTGCCATACAAACAAAACATTTTTGGACACAAGAATTCAGCTTCGGAGAATCAATGACTTCACATAAGCTCAATAAGTTCAGTTGCATAAACTTAAATTTGCTTACTTTGTTATAATATTCATGAAACGTGTCCACAAAAAAGTTGCAATAGACCTTAGGGTTCTCTGATAATGAGATACTTATTATAGTCTGCTCCCTCCTGAAATCTGTGTTCAACCGTGTTAAACCAAAAATATTCAATTCAAGGAATTCAAACATGATCGAACACCAATACGAAGAACTACAAAGAAAAACAGAAGGAAATTGGGAAAGAAAATACACTTTCAGAATTTCCAAATTTAGAGAAACCGCAAAACCTAAACATAACTAAAGGAGAGAAGCGGCTTTCAATTAGAGCGAATACCAACATAACATGGATTATAGTTTTACCCTCGTTCACGCGAACTTATTCCCTATTTGAACCAGTTCAATTCTTTTTCAACAGCCAGATCTTTTTTAAGTTAATATATATTTTTACTTCACTGAATAGAAAAACAATTGGTATATTCATTCCATAACGGGGTGACGCAGCACATGGAACATGAAAGTGAACCAATACTAGAATTAAATCTACCACATAACACCAACGCTGTTTACCATTTCAGCTGATTGTTTTTCAAGGCATGGGATTTATCATAATCAAAACCTCACAACACACGCTGTTAAACAATTAAAAGAAGGAAAAGACGTCTGTCAACAACAAAAATCCGGAAACAAAACAAGTTCACTTCATAATTATATTTCGTGTTTTCTAACCGATGTTTGTTTATAAATTAAGCTAGAATGAGTAGAGTCGTCGACCTAAACTACATTTGTAAAACAAGTTTTAACAGCTAACTTGGTATGATATTCAAGTTCATTGCTCCCAAATAGTAAACTAAGCTTTCAAAAGGCTCACAGCGAAAAGCTGTCATTTTGTGTTTGGTAAGATTTTCGTTTGAGAATGTGAAAAAATAGCAATGTGAAATGAAGATGGTTTGACGTGACGTGAATAACTTCTTGAATTTTCTCGCACTGATAACATTTTGAAAATCAATCTGCTCTTCAATAGAAACATTATTCCACTACTTAGTTTCAATCCGTCATTTGTCTTTAAACATGCGACCGTTAAACAAGCTGTAACGAACTGTTATTTTTATGAAAAAATTGAAGTTTTTTCATAAAAATCATAGGTACCGTTGAAAATCGATTCATAATTGTATAAGCACGTGATCTTGCGTCATTTTTTTTTGGAAAATCGGCGTATTTTGCTTCAAATTCAAGAGCATGAATGAAAAAAGTCAACTAAGTTGGGCTTGATTTGACACAAGTCAAATGTCAGATGGGTTCAAAGTTAAACCCAATATTTTGACACATTTCATCGACCCAACATCATGTTGGCAAAGTTTCTTATGATGACTTCTTATTAGAACAGCCAAATCTAAAAGAATATATCATTTGACATCAACTAGCCAAAACTAAGGCTATTTTGAGGGCACAAGGTTCGATTAAAGTCATAGACAAATATGGCATCAAACCTTTATGGCATAAGACTTCGAGATCAATTGAAGGTGACACGTTAAAGATAGGAATGAAAAACTAATAGCAAAGAACAACTCCTTCAAGCTAATCGATGCACAAGTGAAAGACTAACAGCACACAAGACTTAGAACTGTTTGAAGCTTTGAAGTGTTTTGAACTTGACCACAAAGTCAAAAGGTCTTTTTGAAGAAACTGTTCAAGATTGATTCTATTCTCAAGAACGAAGTATGATGCAACTTTACAATAAGTACGTTCCATTGAAATGAAAAACGCATCTAACCTTCAACGCCAAAAAAAACAGTTTCCCAGAACCATGATAGTTAAAACTAAAAGTTTAAACCCGTCTCGCCAGATTCCGTTTCGTAATCTTTGGTTTGAAATAATTGAGCTGAAACTAATTGAACGAAACTGAACCTAAAAGCCAAAATGATGAATGGCGATTTTCTGAGTAATTTGAGCGGCCGTGGCCGAGTGGGTAAGGCGCTCGTCTCTTTAAACAAGAGGTGGGTTTGAATTGAATCCCACTTAGGTCATGGTCGGAGGGTTCCCAATGCCATCATCCTCCTGAAGGTTGAAACGGCTACAGCGACATGGATGACACCCCTCCCCCACGGTTGGTCCTGCACTGAGCAAGACCGGGGCCTAATGAAACAAACACCCCTCCCCCAGGCCTGCAGTGGGTCGGGGTCAAGTAATAATAATTAAAAAAAAACTGATTACTAACCCCTGAGAATTTGGTAGAGGAAAACTTTGACGTGGTCCAGCGAGAGGGGCTGGGGGGAGACTATGATCTTGTGCAGGTCACTTTGCATTAGCTCGCAGATGAGGTAGATTTCTTGGAACAGAGATATGTTGTGGGGAGGTTGCAGGATGTCCAACGACTTCAACACCTGAAACATTACATCATCAACCTCCACTCAAATTCCAAAAAACCACTAACCTTGTCGGTTGCCGTTGAAAGAGCATCCATCAAAGCTTCCCCGTGAACTGATTCAATTTTACTATATCTTTCTTTATTTAGGGCAATTTTATGTTAAGAAACTTCGTTGGTCGCCTTTTAAGATTCAACCATAGAAAAATTAAAAAATAATCTAAGCTTTGCATTTATTTGCGCTCTAAATCAACTTCTGCTCAATCTTATTAACGATACATACTAATGGTCTAATAGCTTTTTAAAAACTTTTAAAATAGTTTTGTGTCGTGTTAATTTGAGAGTATCTCACATTTTCGTGTCGGTAGTGGAATAGCATCTTGAGTTCCCTGAAGACCCTTTTGGCAGCGATGACATTGGAGAACACATTGGGCAACTTCTTCAGTGCCACCCGCTTCCCGTCCCGCGGGTCAGTCACGGCCCTAAAAACACACACACACACTCGATATTCACACACTCTAGAACTCGATCAAGTTTTTCGTGACCTTAAATATTTTCGCTGTTCCATAAAGGAGTTTGCCTTCCTTCTAACAGAGGAAGTGAATTGAACTTAAAAATAAATCGAAAGTCAAACCGCAAAAAAAATAAATTTGAGCCTGAACAATTTCTAAGAATTTTTCCTGAAAAAAAAAACAAAAAATCATCACAACGGATATAAATAACAATCACTTCGTTCTTTTACACGTAAACACAAACACACACTCAATATTCAGACGAAACCAGTGATTCAGATAGCGTAATCAAGATACTTATTGCATAACAATAGTATCTATCTGAAGTAGACTAGTCCTAAAAAATACAGCTTATCTTTCAAATCCCACCGGTATTAGACTATGTTTCCTTTAAGAATGGCTGAATAATTTTGTTTTCGACCAAGAAGTAAAACTGATTTTGACGTCAGCAAAAAAACAGTAATTTATAAACCACCAAAAATTCAACCATGAAGACAAAAATCACTTTTAGGTCACGCCTTGATGTTTTGGCTCAACATGGTGTATTTTGGACTTAATAATTGACAGATATCTTAAATTTTAAACTTTCCTAAAAAATTCCTTATTTGGTAAGAAATTGGTTCATATACTTGACTGACTTGAGAAAGCAACCTCTTAGACTTTCAACAGTTCAACTTAGTTTAGTGAGTCTGCTACCATTACTTTCTGGTTCACCTAAGAAAATGTTTACCTCGAATCGGAGAGCAAGCAAACCACAGAAACTGTCGTTCTAGACGGCGACCTAAATTAGTCATCACGCGCTGCATGAACGCCATCTGAGCGCAAATTTTATAAATAAATACTACTATTTTGCATGCTGAGATGTTAATAATAACATACGAATACGAAGTGAATACACCACTAGGATCTTACTTTATAGAAAGCAAAGTTCACAAACAAAAGTTAGCCAACAACCAAGGGGGTCCAAATTTTCGACACTTGACTTGATATACCCACGAAATATATTAAACTTCAGCATCAACCGAACATGATGAATAAGTTTCCCCTTCTAAGATTGCGACCGTATATGCTTTTATAAACGCAATGTTGACAGCGTTTTGCAATGTCCATCAATCAACAAATACTAATGATATCATCACGCCACAAGTGCTTTTTGATCAGCTTTTCATGGGTAATTTGATTTTTTGTTTTCTTTCTCTCGAAGATACTGAGAAAATTTAGTTTAATAGGTAAACAAAACAATGCAATATGTGGTGTCTTTCTCTTCGCGTATATCTCTTAGATTTGACCTATATCAGCACCAAGGACCAATGTCATATGTAAGACGAAAAATGCTTTGAATCAACCTCTCCCCTCCCCCAACCCCAAAAAATCGATCATCTTAAGGAAACAACCTCAAGTATAGATAGCCTAAAGTCGTACAAAATTAGCAGCTTTATTGAAAAAAAAGTATTGGAAAAACAATAATTTAGGGAATTCACAGCATTCAATGCAAACCAACATATACATTATGAAAATCAATTTTAATTGTGCGTTTCTTCGAAATGCATATTTATACAGAATTAATTTTCAAAAATAATACGCGGCCAGGGGGACATTCTACGGTGAAATCTTTTTCTTGGTTTAAAATTGATCCAACTAAAAATAACGACAGCTGGTTGCTGTGCAAGTAACTCACAATGTTTAGACTACACTAATTTAGTAAAATTTTTCAAATCAGTTTTTAGTTTAAATATCCTGTCAATTATATTTTGAAAAAGTCCATTGAATTAAATGAAATAAGGCAAGATTGAGTGGCAATAATAGCTAAAATAACGTTGAAATAAAAACCGAAATTAATTTGGAAGCCAGATTCCTCTATTCAATTGTCTAATTGAGTCTGAAAATACCCTTTGAAATCAGAATCACAACTAATTTGGCTTTAACATGATACCATACTTGACACCCTACGAGCTTTCCTTAAAAATTAACTGCAAAAAATAAGAAACGGAATCTACGCCGTATTTGCTTTCTACTCATCGAAAGTGGTCAAAACCCTAAAGTTTTTCGTACTATATAAAAGTCTTTAAAAGTTCCGACTGCCTTTTAACGTGTCAGAAGTAAATCTTATCCCCCGGACGCAATAACAACGCCAAAATGATAATTTTTGCGTCTATTAACACAATATATGGATCAATTGGTTTGCCTCAATGCAACTTAAAACAATGTGTCTACTAATCTACTACTTAAAGCTGTTTTCGACAATGAACTGCTCAAGAATGACACACAACCGCTTTTGAAATGCATCAACAAAAAAGAGAAAAGTTTCAACAATTCTTGTTTTTCAATATTATTGGACATCCACTAAGCGCCCAAAGTTTATGAACAATCAAACAACTAGTATAAAGCTCATGAAATTAGGGACCTTTTCAACAATCGTGACATTTTGTGAAAACTTTCTGACTTGAAATCCTTAATTTGAAATCCCATCTCATTTCAAAAAATTCTAGGCCGGATTAATTAACTGCATACGCTACACGTTGATAGAAAATTTGAGTTTTTGCGTTACTTAATAACCCTAATAAAAAGTGCAAAAAAATAGTGAATAAATAGAGTAAAATCGAAACAAGTATCAGGTATCCAAAGTTAGTAAGAGCAGTAACCCGAGTATAACTGCACATTTTAACAAAACTTAATAAAATTCAGCAAAAAGCAGCCATAGAGGCGAGACGGCAGAGATTTTTGGTGACTAACGGGGACCAGCTACCGAGAGCTTCAGCGGATAGAGGAATGAAAGTGACACCTACCTCATTGCAGGCCGAGGAATGCTTGGCAATCTTTTGGTCCTCAGAAATTTCAGATGCTTAACCGGCAGAAGTTCCAGCATGGGAGAGGGTGGCAGGCTACAGGGAACTTGGAACGGTGAAGTCCAGAGCCGCGGAACGACCACGAGACAAGAAAGGTAAGAAAAGGTCATCTGGACGAGAACGAGATTCTATGAGATGGGCTTTCACAAGGACTGAAGAAAAGGCGGCTTTGGAGGCAAGGTTTTAAATAGTGTCGCGTAAACGGTCGCGGTGAAGGATGCGCTCACCATCGGAAGAACAGGCGAGGGCGTGGTCGCCGAAGACATCCAAGCTCTTGGAGCACTTACGACATGAGAAATGTTCGCTTAACAGAGGTATGCCTAGTCGGAAATACAAGACGACTCTGAACTCAGCGGTAGACAAGGAGAGACCGAGGGCCTTCAAAGGGACAGCTGAAAGCCAGTCGCCACTATTGGCCAGAGAGCAGGACAACAACCTGGCCTTTACCTGTTCCGTGGTAGCCGAAGCGAGACACTCACGCCAGCTGGCGCCATTGACGATGTCGGTGAGCTTGGTTTGAGCTTTAGCTTTAAGGGCGAAAGAACTCGGGACAGACTGAATAGTTGGTTCGTGGCCTTGAAGGGCGGAGCACAGTAAAAATGATTTTTAAAACAAAAACATGATTGGTTTATTTTAAATTATTCCGAATTTTGAAGCAAAAGATATATATATAAAAAACACTTTTAATTTTGAGAAATTTTCATGATTTTTACTCAAAAATTAACCAAATTAGAAAAACTGGATCACTAAGTGATAAGTGATCTTTTTATTCCACTGGAAAACTTGAAAACTAAAACTCATTTTCAAAAAAAAAGAATCAATACACGTATTTTGGCACTATTCGAACTTTCGTTATTATAGAGCAAAATTTGCCTTCCTTGTAGCAAATGGATTTTAATTGAACTCCTTTTGCCTTCCTTGTAGCAAATGGATTTTAATTGAACTCCTTTTGCCTTCCTTGTAGCAAATGGATTTTAATTGAACAAATGGAAAAAAATCAGAAAAGAAAGCGCAAAATCTCAAATTAGCAAGAACAACTTTTCAGGCTTTTTGCTCATTTTGCTCATTAACACGTAAATAATTAGCCTTAAGGAGCAACTACAACCATGTTTGAACAAAAATTACCATGTTTGAACAAAAATTAACAACGATTTAAAGAGATCGAGATTCTTTAGTAGAGACCATAGGGGAGATTGTTAAGTGGATCACTATTTTCGTACAGAATGCAAAACGCACAACGAGCTGAGAACTGATATTGGCGGATTCTTCTTTTGCACTGATTTTTTTTTCAATTCTTACCGAGAAATCTAAGCAGTTGCATTTGAGCACATCAGAAGTGTTACATGCGAACACCAATTTATGCCTTTCAAAGAAATTCTTTTTATGATATGTTCAATCACTAGACAAATGGGGCTACTTTGAATTGCTTTTTTTCTCTGATGTCTGCAATTAGAAAGAAGAACATCAGTTGCAATTATTTTTTTTTGTTTCGGAACAGTAGCCAATTTTTGTTGAAAAAATCTCAATCTGAAGGTATTGAATTAGAAAGAAAACATGAAAGTGTTAAATTCGATTTGTAGACGTTCCCAAATATTGGGACTAAAAATAGCCTCTTCAGCCTAGGTTTTATCAAGCAAGCAATACAACTCTAAGAAAAGATAAAAAAGAGGATATCTTATCTTTCAAAGTCACGTAATGAAGTTCGCATTTAAATTTTGGTAATGCAAACAAAAGCAAATGCTTTGTGTCATTTCCTGTCATATTTTAAACTTTATGTTAATACCAACAGTTGCAGACAAAAAGCAGTACTCATTTTAAACAAAAAATTCTACTGTTTTTTCAACATTTTCTTCATTTAAGACATATTTTTTAAATAAATAATGGCGTTAGAGGAAAAATGGACAATGACTCATATTCATTTCTCTGATGGAAGAAAAAAATGTTCATCATCTTTGTCAAATTGAACGCCGATGCTTTTTAACAACCTCTTCCATATAGCGGTAACGTATTAAAAATTGCATTTTTGAGGACAGTGTGAAAACACGGAAAAGAGTGTATTGATTTAGTAGCTTTGTGAGTGTAGAGAGCTAGAGTTATAACGGCGATTTTTTTTATTCCGAGGTGCCTGGTTTTCCAGAGGACGAAAAAAGCAAAAAAGAGAAGACTTGATTTCACTGCATGTGTTCAGGTTGAATTGTGGGATGAGCTAAGATAAAATGAGCCTCCCACTCTTATTGAATTTCTAGTTTATCAGTTTTATTTATTTTTTCTAGTGATTGTCATCAGTTCGCGAGGTCAGAAAACTGTTTTATCAATCGCATTTCATGATACTAAGGGCTGGCCAAAGATCCTCACAAAACGACAGCAGCAGTAAATATATATCACAATATTTTAACATCAACCAAAGATGTCGACAAGTTCTGAAGATAATTAACCTTGTATCATACGGCAAAAGAATCATAAAAGTTGAAAAAAACACTGATGATATCAGGGCGAACCTTAATTTTGCGATTGTTCTAAAAAACATGTACTAAATATTGAACTGTTTCTTTTCGAATTCTTTCCATAATATAAGAAGCAGTGGTATATTTTCAGTCAGGCAACTCATTATTTGAGCCAATTAGGCTGACTTAAATCCATTTGAGCTCTTTTGAGTGAAGATTAATTAGTCGCCAACGCAAATCAAAACCGAAGCAAATTAATATCCCAAAAAGGCCATTTTCATACAGCTCTTGGCAATTTGTAAACTTGACGAAAAAGTGATAGGTGAAATATTCCTTTCTACTCAAGTTCAGGGCACAAACACAACCAACAGACAGTTGGAAAAAGTCAATGAACGCAGGAAACAGAGAAAACTGCCTTGTTTTGATTAAACTTGAATTTTACAATTTCGAACTAAAAAAATAGATGGCTTCACAGCTCTTTCAGTTTCATAAATAACGACAAAACTATTAAAAACCTTTAAAAAAAACTGAAAAAAGAGGCGGAGACCACCAAGTCGGAAAAAAATCTACATTAAAAAACTAGACCTAAAAACCTAGCCAACAGACCGTTTGAAAAGAGTCAGTAAATGCACGAAAAACAATACGTATGGCCACAAAGATTTTATATGTAATACACGAAAATTATATGTATGGCCATAAAGACTTTTGAATTTAAGTATATTTGGTAAAACTGAATCCATAGGTATAGTTTGATTCCGCTGAGAAATCTGAAAACTACAATCCACTTTCTCAACTAGAAGTTGATGACGTTTTTCGTGACCTTTAGACCTTTGCTGTTCGCTGGTGGAGTTTGCCTTCATTTTATCAAAAGAAATGAACTGATCTTTAAAAGAAATCAAAATTCAAACCGCAAAAAAAAATCAATTTTGAGAGTGAAAAATTTTTCAGACTAATCCTGAAAAAATATATCATCACGACACAGCTACATTCATCGGCTCTTAGAATTGTTCACAAAAACGGTTATTTAAGAATTGCAATTGATCTGAATTGGTTGAGAGCTGCAAGTTGCTCCTCTTTCAGTTTTGTATATTCTACCGGGACCAGACGTGTATGGGAGGAAGCAAATGGAATTTAAATTTGAAGATCTAGAAAAGCACAATTTTAAACACCGAGGTTTTTAGATATTTTTCGAAAAAACGGAAACTATATATTAAATTGTCAATCTTGCTTTCGGCGTTTAATTGACTAGTTATAGATCACAATCGCCTAGCGATACTATTATCAGCTGAAACGAAAATATACGGCTTCAAAACAACTTATTTTTCTAAATAATTATAAAAAGATTTCTGAAAAGTCAATGTATTTTAAATATACGTCAATTTTAGATCCATTTCAGTGTTTTACAACTACTTCAAGATACTCTAGAGGTGATATAAATGGTACGAAAATGTTTTTGATTTTCAAACTAAAATTTTATACAATTTTTCCCAGCATCTTATGCTATTTATAGTATCACTTCGAATAGCTGTATTTCATCAGTCCATGATTATCTAGAATTGTGAAATCTAACTTAAAATTTACGTCTCCCTGGCACTTCATAGTTTTTGAAAATACGGATATTTCTTTCAAAAAATTGAATGTATTCGAATGTTTTAGTTTTTTCTATTTGTTTTTATTTTCCACGCATTTTCTACTTGTTTTTATTTTGGTTCAATTTCGAGCTAATAAGGTGAGTCTGGCTTACAAAAGCTTAGTTTAAGCTCAATTTAAGCCGTAGAAACTTAAATTAACTCCAGTAAATTTAGTTTTTGGAGTTTTTAGCACCAAATTTGGAATCAAAAACTTCCTGCAAAAAAATTTGAAAAATTTTTTAACGATTTTTTTCGTTTTTCTTGTTATTTTTCTCCAAAAAACCGTTTTCCAATTACCCTTTTTTAGTATGAATGTCGAATAAGCCTAAGTTCTAATTTTTCGTTCAGATTTTTTTAACACACCACGCAGAAAAAACGACACTAAATTGAAAAAATATATATAATTTTGGATTCTTTAAGACTATGGTCGGAACATTCTGTTCTACTTGCACAAAAACCGGCTATCCTAGTTTTGTCCCCATTTGCTAATTTTTGTTCGTATGGGCTTTTCCACTTGGCCCTTACCTTGAAACGTATTTTTGCGTGGTCAATGTAAGGAAATTATGCATGGTGAACAAACTAACTATTGTGAACACATTTGTTCTTCATACATTATTTCGTAACGTCACGCGTTCAGCCATAATAACACGTAAAAACAAATAAGAGAAGGAAAAACTTGAAATGTAGAGAAGTCAAACGAGCCTTCGTATGCTTGCGATTTCCGATCAAAAAATGTTCGAAGTAATCAAAATTCAAAATTTTCCCAAAACATCAGTTGAGCTTTTTCCTACAAAAAAGAGATGGGAAGATTATGTGCTTAAATTAAAGGTAAGAAGTTTCAACTGGGGTTCAAATCTAGTTACTAGCACTCACCACACTACTCCGAAAGCACCATATCCAATGGGTCTGTCTGCTTGAACTTCCTCCCCATTGTTGTTGTTTGTGACTCCCCCATTATTGTTACTTCCCACCTGCCCACCCCCCACTAAACCCCCCTTGTTGCACTTGTCCTTGGGACTGGGCGGCGAGGGGGGCACCAATGCGCCATTCACGTGATGGTGATTCTGATGATGGTGGTGGTGGGGGTGGGTGGGGTTTATGTGATGTCCCCCCGTTGTTGTTCCGTTGTGGTGATGATGATGTACTGTACTTAGGATGTGATTGTGATAGGGCGCTATGTGGTGTGGGGCAACATTAGGTATCATTTGGGTTTCCATATTTTTGCTGCTGTTTTTCGTATATCTCATGTTTTCAACGAGACCTAATCGGTCAGCGGCCGAAGCAGGCGAGATACAGCACGAGTCGCGACCTATGTCTTCGGCTTGGCTGAAACTGCACCTTGTGAAATAGTCTTTCGGGTCAAGTCGAAGCAGTTTCCTGGCTTGTGGGCTCAAAAACGCGTCGTAGAAGGAATTTTGAGCTTTCAGAGACAGCAAAATCTGGGCTATTTGGTCCTCGGAAACACACAAAGGGGTCGGGAACGTCGGCAGCGTTGTTGTCAATGTGTGGTTGGAAGGATGAGCTAAAGCTGTGGGTTCTGCCGTCGTGTGGGTTTCTATTCTGAACAAGCAGGATTCCATTTTGAAATTAACTGCTTATTTGGGAGTTAAACGTTACACCGACTTCTTACCAATCGGTTTGTTAGTTTCAATTTGACTTTACAAAAATTCGACGATTGAAAATTTCAAGATTGCAAAGCCAAATTATTTGTCTTCCAAAAAAATTTTCAGTGATTTTTTCTTTAATTTTTAGATCTAATTTTACCGCCAAAAATGTTGAGAAAAAAACAGTGTTTTCCAGGCAGATTTTTTGACCTTTCCTGATCTGAAACTTACCTGACCTTAAATTCTAAAGTCACGGCAACACATCGGGTCAATTTCGTTTGAATGAGTCATTTAGCGGCGCAAAATTCAGTCTAGTTTGATATGACAGTGTACTAAATTGAATGCGGTCAAGTAACCTAATGCTCCGTGGAATAAAGAAGTAAATTCTATCCAGGATAACTAGGAAAAGGCAAGGGACGGAGGAATAGGAGCTAAGCTATATACTGCAAGTGAAATAAACGCCTCAACTCAATCTAAAGCTCCTTCGGAGTATTAAAATAGAAAAGCATGAGCCGAATAATATTCAAAAGCAAATGTGCTTTACTTTAGCTAGCTCTGTGCTATTATGTGCCTCTCTTTCTATCTCTATCTTTATACGTGTATTCGCACACTTTGAGTTGAACAAACTAGTATGACTAGCATTCGATTTCACAATTTGAGGCCTAAATAAAAGCTTCCCCCTTTAAATTACACTTTTGCGCAATAGAAGAGAGAAATTGCGCGTATTTTGTATGACTATGTGCTCTAGTGTTGAATCAATTCGCGTGAGTAGGACTAAATTCCCTGCTGCATCATTCCAAAATTGACAATTCCCCGGAATTAAAGTCGTCGTAAGAGCGGAGCGGTCTGCGGTTTGCCAAATAATTTTTGTTGTTTATTAAAAGCAGATTTTGAAGAGCTGCTGCTATTTAGACGCAATAAATTTCGATTTGGACAAAGCAAGAGGAATGCCCGTGTTACTTTGTAGATTACACCTGGGGAAAAAGGGCAGATTGCCTTTCAAATTTGAACTTTTAGTTTCTACTGACAGAAAGAAAGTCGAATTTGTAATTAGCTAAAACAATCAGCCATGTTTTAAGATAGGCTATGCAAATTGCGTGGTGAACTTACTCTGCGTGACCAAATTGAGGTTATCTGTGTCATCGCTTTAAAATTGACCAATCAGAAAGCGAGTTGTGTCTAAGCTTAAGCTTGTTTAATACATTGCATAAAATGCTTAAGAAATACCGCAAGATGGCGGACTAAATTAATTAAGTTCACTACGCACGCAATAATAAACAAATACACCGACCCACACCATAATTCCACGCTTCCATAAAATACAGAAAGCTAGATTTAAAAGACAGTATGCAAAAAATACAGTAACGGGTAACTCAGTCACATGTGAGCTTGACCTACTTTTACCATAAAGCATCCTTTTTACTGATTGATAGATATACAATTTTGGGTTTTCACTAATTTATGTCCAGAAGTATGCTAAAATTTGAAACGAATTTGTTTCGACGAATCGACTGAAAGAACCTTGAGAAATGACAGATTCAAGTTATACGAGTTTTTCTGTTTTGCCGCCCCGGTCGAAAATTAAGTAGGATCACCCGCACAATATCGCACCCAAATTGTTTTTGAGCTTCATGAGCAAAAAAATTACGCTCGATGCTGCACCGAAAATGGAAGTTGTAAAAAAGTCTCAAATTTTGTCAAGAGAATTAATAGGGGGGTGGCCACCCGCTTTCTCCGCCTACTCTCCGACACGATATTGCTTATGGCATTTGAAATTTATGGTCTTTAAATATTTTTTCTTGATATACACCTGTTAATTGAATCAATTCAGGCTACACTCAAAATACACCAAGTTAATTTTTTTTAATCTTGCCACTAAGTCGATTTGGAGACAAGCTTCGGCTTTATGAATTTTTCGCGGATTTACTTTTTCAATCCCCTTGTCTGATTTTTCTGAAATTCAATTTTGACTGTCGTGAGTTATAATTTCCAACTTTTTTTTCATTTAGTCAAGACCAACGCAATGCGAAAAAAAAATGAAAAATTGTTGAACTGTGAAAAAAGACTACTGTTATTCCTTTGGTTGTTGCTTTGAGAGCATTGGTTTAATCAAAACTACTGCAATAATGGCGGAACAATGGATCAACCGGTCAATTTTTTGAATTTGAGACCATCTTGTCAGTCAAAAAATTCAATTTACTTCCGGATAAAACGGAAAAAATGAAAAAGACTAGCCAAGGAGCGCGCTTTTTTCCTAAACCTGTACCTGTGTTTGTGTGAAACAAGACAAAAAGAAGTGAACAACTCTCGGCGACACTTTGGACTGGGTCAAGAAGAATAAAACCAAGGGTGACGCAAAAGATACACCAAAGACATTATCAAACGAGACTGGAGCCAAATGCAAGAAACATTCCGAATTTTAACCAAAAATCGAACACCTTGAAAGACGATAAAATCATTGCATGTGGATTTTCAAGACCAACCAGATGTAAATTTGGAAAGATGGAGAGAAGAATGGTCCGGTTTTGCGTTCATAGCAAAAATGTCAAAACTGGAAGCAAGCAAATTTAGAATTAACAAAATTTGCTTAAGACTCTCATCAAGTAGTGTATAACATTGGACTATCCTAGAGGGCTGGAGGAAGAGAGTAGAGTTTTTCATAAGCTGGGCCGACAAAGCTGAACTTAGGGCCAAATCTTTACTCAGATCAAGATTGGTTAATCACCCATTCACGATCAAATATAATCCTGTGAGGAAATTAGATGAGAAAGTTTTTGAGGTTGTTCGCGACCATTATTGAAATATTAGTAAGTGAAAGAGACATAAAAGAACCCAACGACCGCTATGTAATAACGTACCAAAAATGCTGATGTTAATGTAGAAAATGCTTATACGCTTGAAAAGCAAACCTTCTCTGACCACTTGCCCATTGTCCTAGAGCTGATTACCACAACCTCGCAAATGCAATCTTCAAATTCTTATCGTGATTTAAGTTTTTTAAAATCTGAAACTCAAATCAAAAACTTCAATTTCGCTTTAATGCATGAATTGCAGAAAATCAATTTGTTCCACATCCCCAGTTAATGACTTATTAGAAGATTTTCAATCTAGATACGCTTTTATATTAAAGAGATATCCGCCGCTTAGAATATCAAAAACCAAGAAACGAAACGTTGACTGCCCCTGGATGTGCAATCATATAAAAAAAAACTTAATATCCAAGCGTTATAGACTTCATAAAGCTTGGCCAAAAAAAATATCATTAGAGCAAGATTTCATTTTGAATCTGCCAGGAGTAAACTTGAAATTCACATTAAAAATGTTTAAAAAAATTTTACTATACAAAGCTTAAAAATTGTATTGGTGACTCAAGGAAAGTATACAAATTACTAAATGATTTAAAGGGTATAACAAGTACATCAAGTAGAACAATAGTTTTGGTAACCGCAAGTAGTGGCGGACGTTGTTAGCGACAAACTAGCTATCGCAAATGAGTTTATTGACTTCTTTTTTTCTTTTGGCAGTCATTCAGCTAATCAAATACCTAAATTAAAATCCGATCAACTTTATTCAGAGCCTCGTTTTTGCATGCGTTTAAATTTAATCACTAAATACGAAATTGAAGTCATTCTTTCAGCGCTACAAAACAAACTATCTTCTGGAGTAGTCGGAAATAGTAATATAATTGCTAAAGCTAGTTCATTCGCAATTGTTCTCTTTTTGAAAAAACTCGTTGAACTATCCTTTGAATCAGGATGTTTTCTTACCGCTGTGGCTCAAGCGGTAGTATATCCTTTATACAAAGCAGGATCGAAAATGGATGTCAGTAACTATCGACCAATAGCACATATTGTAACCTAGAGTAAAGTATTTCTACGTACAATATACAACCGAGTGTACAGCTATCTTGAAACAAACTTACTAATTTATATCAAACAATTTGGTTTTCGAAAAAACAGTACAAATGATGCTATTACCAAAGTAACAAAGAAATGCCGCTTAGATAAAACTAAATCACCCAGGAGAATAGTTTTTCTTGATTTTTTAAAAAGCTTATGACACACTGGATCACGAGAATCTTTTTCATAAGTTAAAAATGTATGGTGTCAGTGGAAAAAATTTACTTTGGTTTAAAAGCTACTTGAAGCACCGCAAGCAACTTGTCCAAATAGGTGAAAATAGGCGAAATCTGGAATGTGGTGTCCCACAGGGATCCATTTTGGGGCCTCTGCTGTTTGTTATTTATATATAAATGACCTTCCAAAAGTCTGTAAATATAGCGAAGTTTTTTTTGCCGACGCCACAAATATCACTGGACTAAATTGCTTGGTTGAGAGCTTCAATCAAGACTTAGTAGCTATAAATAAGTCGTTATTTTTGAATAAATTATCTCTAAACATGGATAAGAAACGGTACAAGTAAGTGTATCTCTTAACAGTGCTTCCAACCAGCAATTGTTTTTTTAATAGCATACCTTTGAAAATTGAAGGGTCATGAAAATATCTTGGTATTTATGCAGCTGCTAAATTTTCATTTAATTCTCAAATTAAATTCATAGGATCCAAGCTCAGAAAACAATGTGGCATTGTTTTTGAAAATGCGTCATTATGTTCCCAAAACTGTTATGATTGTTTATTATGGCTCTAATATTGAGGCCATTTTGCAATATGGAAAATTGGTGTATAGTTGCACTTCCTACAATAACTTGTTAACCCTTTTTTGATCAAAAGAAAACTATTCGATTGATTTTTTTCAAAAGAAAATATGAAAGAATTCGACAAACTTTTAACGATGAAAAGTTTTTTACAGTTCGAGCTGCATGTGTATGAACTCCTCAATTTTGTTTTTGCGATCAGCAGCTGGACTACACTCTGAATTTTTTAAAACGAGGTTTTTAAATTTGATAAACCGTTTTTGATCAAGCTTCCAATTCAGATATTCAACACGTTGCCCACGAAATTCGTGATTTGTTTATATTAAGCAATGAAAATCTAATCAAATTTGTTTTTTGTTGACATTTTTTTTGAATGCAAAGATAATGCCGAAGAATGACAGACATGAAGTGCCCGCATATTTCAAGTTTTTTTTCTAAGGATATTTGTATGTGGTTTCCAATGCGTCTTCGGCGTTTTGAAAACCACACTTGGGCCTGTTCGCCGGTTACTGCCGCATGGTCTCAGTTGGATGTCTACTGACCGTTTAGCCCCCAATCAGTTCTACTGATGTTAGAGAGGCTTCAAGGGATGGGACACAGTTAGTAGAAGCAGTAACCGTAAAGTGAACAAGTTCAAATTTTGCTTTGGAAAACGAATAGGGATGCCTACGACTAGCGAGTTTTAGAAACTATGAGTGATGAATTTGAACTAACTTCTTGAAAAATCTTTTAAATAGTGACACAGAGCTTGGACCTTATGTCATTAACGTGTCTAGACAATGCCTCAAATCTGCAGCTTTATGTTTATTCAAACTTTAGTACATTTTTTTCCAATATTTCCTTTTAAGTTTTCAGATTTACATATTTTTCGATGTCCTTGAAGATCCCAAATTTCGTCTTTCGTTTGATTAATCGGGCAGTGCTCTAAAGCCCAATTGGGTTCGTTAACTGTCCCCTCACTGTTTCTGATGCTTTATATTCAAATTCTCGTTGTATGCATTATTAGAATTATCAACGAGAAATAAATTTTTTCTTTTTTTCTTAACATGCAGGTCTACAATATATTTACCAATTGAAATAAATTAAAAACAAAACAAGAAACATTTATCTATTTATTGCGCAAGTATAGTCAATTAAGTGAAGTCGTAGCTGGACTGCAGGCAGCAGGCTTGTTAAAACTTGTATTGCGATTAAATTGTACCTCAATAACAATAATTGCAATGGGTTTCAAGCAAAAAAACAAAAATTCCAATTTCGTTCTCCTTAAAAAAATTAAATGCAATAAATACAATTATTGCTTTCAAAACCAAAAAACGTCACTCCGAAATTGTAAATTAAAGATCAGAAGCAAGTTTAGCATCATAAAAATTAGGGTTGAGCTTAGGGAACATAAGAGCTTACACATGAAGTGGAAGCAGCCTTTTTCGTTCGGGAGTCAGTATATACTTTGCGGAGCTTAATGAGACCTCGGGA